AGAGATGGCGCTGCCTTGCAGCTTAAGGATAGGAAAGATTTCGACGCAGCCATCAGGGCCGTGGTAGCATAATTGGTCAGTGCATTCGCCCGGATTGCGAAGGGTGCGGGTTCGAGTCCCGTCCGCTGCCTGGTCCACGTGGATTTCTTTTCTAGTAAAACTTTTCTTTAGATACTATAAGTAGTTTTTATTATACAGTTCGTTAGTAGTAAATATTAAGTTTTCTTATTAATAATAATATCTTGGTAATAAATTATATGTGGTCCAAATTTCATCCAAATCCGTTGGGTCTTTTTTGCGTGATTGAGTAACAAACAAATACTTTCACATTTATAATATTAGTAGGATATTATTAGTATGGAATAAAACTCAATAACATTATACATTGTTGCTATAGTTTTTGATGGTTCTTGTTCCATTTCTAACTAAGTTTTAGGGAATGTCGGCCAGAAAATGAGTTACTTAAAATTAATTCATAAGTAACCACTACCCCAAATCGTTAATTTCTGTCCAGTGTGCTTGAGTTAAATTCAATATCTATCCCATGGTACATACTGGATTTCATAGCATCAGGTATGACACCTGGACAAAAAAAATCAGCAATTCTACATTTGGCATTAATTGTGTGGTCTTAGTTATTCGATTGCTAAATAGCAACTGACACAACCTTTATTTTGCTTGCACTATTAAATAAGCATTATCAAAAGCTGTTTCACCTTTCGGTTGAACCAAAGATATAAAAAAAACTCAAATCTGTAATAGACCGTTTACCCATAATGGGTATACAAAAATAGCAAAATAAGATAAAAGTAATATTGGTTCGTCATTCATTAAATATCTTAAGTTCATTCAAGCATGAACACAAGTAGCTGGGCCGGCAGTGTGATAATTAAACCCGTTATTTAGGAGAGTGATAGATAATCTAGAGAGAAAGAGAGCCAGATAAGTATTTTAATCGAACAACCTTCGGCATCCACCCCTATCTCCATTTAGATTCACCTTCACGTCAATCCAGATATTATCGCACCAATGATTGACACATTATAATAACTTCGATGCGTAATTATAATATTTATGCACAGTAGAACAAAAGATATTAAAGAGAAAAAAAACTATGTCCGTCCGTTGTCTCTTTCCGGTGCTAACTGCAAGTTGAAATTGTTTGCGCAACGTGAACGAATGTTAGAAACAAAATGAGTTTCACTTTTTTTCGGCCGAGTGGATTTTCTGAATGGGTGACCAGTAGCATATGCGGATGTGGCCGATTTCCAACGGAGAAAGGGTGAACTTGTGACGAAAACCTCTTTCCTATTACGTGACAATTTTCCTTCCCGTGTTTATATGGAAACAACAAATACAAACTAAAGAAAAAATCTTGAAAAAAGTTTATTTACATTTAAATATAGCAGTTCAAAAACTGGTAAAACGAAAAAAATCTAATGAATCTTTTTTTCTGATCTTGCAAATGGATAATAAACTTTAAGACTTTTCATTACTGACTGTTGCCTGGTCTTAGTTCGAATCTAGACAGAGTTTATTCGTGTAAAGTATAAAAAAATATTTCCGTGTAGTTCTTAACTATAGATTATATTTTTAATTTTAAACATTTAATTGCAAGATTTATAAACCTTAAGAAAATTTTAGTAGAAATAATTCCACGCGGTCTAAGCCCCAGACGGGATTCGAAACCTTACCGCACCTTCCGCAATCCGGACGGATTATATTTGTTTCTTTGATTATTTTTAAACCCTTGGCTGAAGCATGACTTAATTTCCTTGTTTGTATATTATTTTCGTTATTAATTAAATCCAAGTGGCAAAAAACTTACTTTGAGCTATTTTTTCTTACTAAATTTATAAAATTAAAGAGTGACAAAGGAAATGCTTACTACATTTCCTTTAATTAAACAACAAATCAAGGTGTTTCCTCTCGCGAGGCACCGAATTATTGAATCGACTACTAAAAGTTTTTAAATTATGTCGGTGTCATATGAACATGTAATTTTGTAAGTCTTATACCACGAATCGGTTTATCACAGTATACGTCATAATTTTATTGTCACACACGAACAAAACTGAAAACTCATTATGGCCTCAACCTCAGATTCGAGATACGGACAGGTGATAATTTGTCACTTTTTAAAGTGCAAAAGATAAACATCTTTTTTGTGTGCCGCAATATGAATTAACATTTTCAACCTTTTTCTCTTTTCGACAAGCGAGGCAAATGGTTTTTGGTACCTACATAACATCATCAAAACCGATCATGTAGAGTTATTCTTCTGTGAGTGGTTCGTCGACCTATGACCAGTTTAATTAATCGAATTCTTCGATTAAAGTATGGATAATCTGCTTCCGTATCTAAGCATTAGTTGTTAATATAATCTAAATAAAAAATATCTATAGGCAACAAAGCTCTGATAGGTCTATCTTCTACTGGAGTATGATTACTGAAACTGGCCGTATTTATACTGTACACAAAATGCTAGACGACGCTATTACAGTTGAATTGATATATTTTTAAAATTGTTTTTGTAATAACAATGTAAAAATTTTATATTATGTAAATAGCGCTTCATAATTTGACGCTGTGAAGTTTTTTTGCCTGTTTTTTTCCACAGCTTAAAATATCCATAACAGGTGGTAGGGAAAAAGCTAAATAATTTATGCTTCCGATTTGAAACATTGACTTTAATAAAATAAAAAATAACCAATTTCGACAAGCAAGTTTAATCATTTCGCTTTTCTCTCAATTCATCGGTAGGTATTGGCAATATAGAAAAAAATTGCTCTCGGGAAAGAATCTTTCAAAAAACATGTTATTTTAAGGTACAAGTTTTGAATTTTAATAAGGTTGGCGGCGTACAAAGCGAGTGGTGTTGAAGCTTCGAATATTTTGTGCAGATTTCGCGAGCCCAGCCGGTAATGAAGAGTTATGGCGGTGTTGATTTTAGCATAATGAGCTGAGTAATTTCTGAACTGCGTTTTATATCGTGCGTGACACACTGCTAACAAGACCTGGAAACATAAAGATATAAAAAATAAAATTCTCTCCTTTTCAGGGTTCTGTATACAACATGAACCTGTTATATACGAAGCAGCCACAGTCTATCAGATCATCAGTCTAACCATAATCCGAATCACACTTGGCGCTTTTTATAGTTATTGATTTACCTTTGTTCGCTCGCTCGATTACTTATGATAAATAAATTAATATTTCTAACACTCACACCAATTAGCCCAGCTCCAAAGTAAGCACTGTAGGCTTATGTTATGGGATACTAGGGTATCTGATAGAATACATATAGGTATATATCAGTAGGTACTGATACATATAAAGGTATATTTATATAGAAATGCATATTAAACACCAGTGACTGGAGTACAAATGCTCGTATTCATCACACAAACATCTGCTCCCACCGGGATTCGAACCCGAGTAGGCGACACCTCGAAACCCGGCGGCATACAAACCACTCAACCACGGAGGTTCGACGATGATGTTTTGAAAGTCTTAAGTAGAAACGCGTCTTTGCTAATTTTCTAAATAGGTAATGAAATTTATGTCAAACAAAGTTTAATTAATAACTTATATTTATATATTTTAATGGTCAAATGGATCGGCTTAAAATATTTATTTATATTAGCAAAAGAGAAATACATTGTCGACAAATTTATAAGAACAAAAAGTGATGGGTACAACAGTTAGTAGATACCAATACAATTACTTTCCTTCCTTATTTATTAAGAAACACTGCTATCATAAGAAAATAAACATAGTTACAAAAAACGAGCGAGCCTTATAGTAGTCGCGTATGATGTGTAACATTTGAAACCTCACCTTATATTAATTTAAAATGAAATAAAACCTACTACAAAAGGAATAAGCCATTTGAACATTATGTTCTAAAATCAAATCAAATACCGCGCGCTTTTGCGAGTTCCTGTTACACACTTCCGTCCCATTTCACGAAATCACTCCCACAAATTGCAGGAAAAATGTTACACATCAAAAATTTCAATTTAAAATATCATTCAGACCGGCTGTGTGTATGACAGTCTTCTCGAGTTTTACCTGATTCCAGAAAATCGATTAATGTATGTTTTTATTGCAATTTAATAAGGAGTCTGGACGTCTGAACGCACGATAGGCCTTGGGCTCTTAGTGTTTTTTAAGTTTGTATTTGATCAGCGACAGTGTGATATTAAAAAAGGAAATATTGAACAGCCAATACTCTCCTATAAGTGAAACAAATATGAAAATGAAATCACGTAAGTTTTTCACAAAGATAATAGTGAAAAAATATCAACTTAATATAGGTACTCTGCTTCTTTCATTGTGTTGCGTTGATGTCTATTGTATGCAATTTTACGTTACATGTTTCGATACTCATTAATCTTTAAAATGTGATTAAAATTTAAACCATTTTTAGAGATGCTGTTTTATTAAAATAATAGAAACTATGCATACTTTTCATATTTTCAAATTATTTAGACAATGGTAATATAATGATTGCTCAGACTATTCTTTGCTAGATTAATTATTGACTGCACTGTAGACAACAATTCCGTAGACTATATCGATATTATACCTATATCTCATATTATCACATAAGATAATGAAGTTACTATTAACTCAAATTAAGATATTAAAAAACGTAACACTTGACACGGCCCTACGTTGGATTTTCTGACTTTTGCTTTCAACTAGTGGGCCGTCAAATTTAGAGCACGTTAAGGTTCTCGTAAACATTGATCTACAGAAATCTCTACACTTGAATTATTATTTACAACTAACCTCAGTTATCAGGAATCTGACTAATTTTAATTCCTGGTAGATAAGAATCTGGTAGATATTAATGATTAAATGATAGATGCGTATGAAAGTTGTTTTAATAGGGAAACTTTAAAAGCTCGAATTTCCACACAACTCTATAATGTGAACTCTAAGCGCAGTGTACTTGTTAACATAATTTTCCATAATCTCTTTTCGTTATTCACCATTTCATTCAACATCGTCATCAAATCGTGCCGTCTGTCAAGCATGGGGACAGCCCAAACGCGTATGCGCATGGGGCAGAGTCGCGCGCGCGACTGACGCCCGCGTTATCGTTCAACGATCATCGGTCCCGTTAGAGCGAGAGGGTTGGCGCGAGCGAGACGCGCGGCCGAGCCATCCGGAAGCCTCGCTGAAACTGGACCGTTTTCTTTTCTTGTTATTATTGAGATCGGCTCTCAAGTTCTGTTGTTGTCGCACCGCGCGCGGCTGATAACGCGATGCCACGCCGGACTGCGCGCGCGCGTACCACCGCAGCTTAAAGCTCGCACTGCGAACTATGGAATGGATATTTTCTTAGTGCTGTGAAGCGACTCGTACTATACGACTTTTTTGCTTTGAGTGTTTTTAACAATTGATCGGATTCATTAAGAAAATACAGTGTTCTATAAAAGAAAGTGAATATTATATTAAGTGTTTTTTTTTTATTATTTGTAAATAAGAAAGAAGGATTATTAGCTCGTTAAACTTTTAAATTTTCCGAGTGCGGCTTCCGACACTGAGACGCACACGTGCGATAAGCTGTTGTATTTGTTTTTCGGACGATCACTCAAGGTAGGTGGTGAAAAGTTTGTGAAGTGATAAATTCTTAACAAATATTTTATGTATTTAATTCCAAATTATTATAATTAAAGTACCTATGTGTGCATTTTTGATTTATAGTCTCAGTGTTTTTTTTTTTCTTAATATAATTTCATAAAAGTATAACCAAATATTTTTAAAGTTTTAAAATATGATAAATACGATTTTAATAACTAAAAAGATAATTTTTCCATTACGATAATATTATGTACTACATAAAGAACAATGAAATAATACACGCGATCTTCCTTTTATTTTAAAAATTAAATTTAAAGTTCAATTTAAAGAATCTACTAATAATTTAGTAACAACAAAAAACTACACCACGAATAGCGTCACGCATCGAATCTAAGACACGGTTACCTGACCTAACGCAACATCTATTTCGATTTTCGTGTATCGATAAAAGTGAAGGGCAATTTCACTCACTTTTCGCTGGTTATATCGATATAAAAAAAATAGAATAAATAAGATTATCCGACCTAGTAAACCAGAAATGCACCGACCGACCGCCCGCTACCGACGGCCATTTTTTGCTCAAACCTCTACTATTGTAGTATCCAAAGTACATTGCCTCGTTAAAGATTGAAATTATTCAGCCTTAGACTAGGGCATCTTTTGTACTAAATAAAATGTGCTTGTAAATGTTCATTAATAAACAGATATTTGAAAAGATCTTGCAATTGAAAATCTTTGATTATATAGGAGTGGTTAAAAGTTTTCGGAACTGTTTTTGTTACTGCACCTTTTTATAACCAAAAATTCTTTGTATTCATATTTTACTCTATGAAACGGTAATATTAAAATTATTTAGTAATGCAATAGTATTTTAGTTTTGTAAGTTGAAGTTTTAAATCCAGTTATAATATAATTGTTATTGAAAATTTTACGGCGATCATTAGCTAAAAGAACCATATAATATTTTTTTAACCGACATAATAAAATAATTCTGAAATAAAACTTATAAAATTATGTTAAAGGTTCGAAAATAAACATTGCGCAATTAAAATTAGCACTATAATTTTTTTTTAAAAAGGAATAGTGATTTTGTTTTAGTTCTTAAATTCTAAGTGTTGGTACAAACTACCATTATAATCATTATAAGTATGTGTTTCCATAGACAAAATATTTAATTGCGCCTTAATTAACTAGATTATGACATTATTTTTAGCTTTTCTTTCTATTCAATTATATCAAAGGAAATATAAGGATGCGATTTTCTTGTTATAAATCTACGAATCCAGTAGGTACAAACCTGGAAAAAGTCAATTAGACATTAATACTCGTTGATTTATACTGATTCATTTAAAATATAGTAACTTTATATAACATACGTATGCTCTTGTTAAAAAATAGCCACTTGATTTTATTATGAGGCGATATTTATAAAACTGCAATTTATATACTTTTTATAAAACACGGGAGCTTCAATTATTTTCAATACGAAACTGTCTCAACATATCGATTTTTTAAGCTAATAATCGGTAAGAATGAAACAGCGGCAAATTTTTGTTAACTGTATACCGCGGCATTTTAAGTCGCGAGCATACCGACGAATAATAAGTGTGTTCCAATTTTTAAAACGCGCTAAAATCGATTCGTTACGATTTTAAATACGTATCTGGCCTTAAAATGTATCAGCTCCTTGAAACATTGCGGGAAAAAAGTCAAAATAATTATGGCGGCACGGAGCGGCGGCTCGTGAAATTGCTGTTATCTTGCCCTGATATCAAACGAGTAGGATCATATAAATTCAGAATTTTAAGAGCAAATATTAAATTAACAAGGTGCAACTTTGTCAACCTTTTTTAAAATACTTTTACTCGTATTCTATTTTGTAGATTCTATCGTTTATTATTATTTTATGCGGTATTGTAACGAAAATAGAGGATAACAAAAAATATTTGTATAACAAATAACAGCTTACACCGTTCAATTATGTCGGAGTACGCAGAACTTTAACGTTCCTCAAAGTTTGTTTCGGGATCGAAAGTCAATCAAACACTTTTTCGATTCACACCACAGAAAAAGAATGCGTTGCCGTTACGAGGCGCGGTAAAAAACGCGCCGCACGCTGTGTCATCTCTGTTGGGGTAAAAAAGAAAAAAAACGTTTACAATTCGCTTTCACTACCACTACGATGGATGCGTAATTAGGTAACTGGCCGGTCAGAATGACAATTATCAGTTTGATAAAAAATAATAGTAGGTATTAGAACTTTTTGTAGTATTTACGAATTTTAAGGAATCTTATTACTATGGGAATAACCATTTGCAATTGCAGATCATTATATATATCATTCCAAAACTTATGATTATTTATTTTATAAATAAATAACGAATGTGGGAATATTTTGGACGATTGGCGCGTTGGGATTGACATGAGATCCAGGCTTAATTTATAATAGTAAAAAGTTTAAAGCGCTTTTTGTTATTTGCGGAAAATTATATGTAGTCCTAATCCTACATTTGTATTGAGTACTCATAATTGAGCGTCGTTGTTAGTTTATACCAAAAAGTAAGCGAATCTGTTTTAAAGAGACCGGATAAGAATAATAGTATTGAAAGACGGATATTGAAACAAAACACGAGCTATTTTAATATTTTCTTTTTATGATCCCGGAAGTTTTTCATTTAATATCTCGGGCCACATATATTCTGATCCAGATCATAACCGCGGGCAACATGCTAGTAAAACAAACCGATGCGTGATTCGTTAAAATAACCATTAGTTTGCTGACGCCAAGCAATTTATTTCTTGAAGTTTTATTGTTTTACATATCATTAATTGTTTTTTTTTTGCTTTGAGAATTATATAACATTATTTTTGTTCCATTTTTGCGTTACAAATAAACCAAGTTCAAGCAAGTATGACATTTTCTTTTTTAACTCGTGTTGTAAGCCCGACAATTTTTTTGTAGTAAAACCAAATTATCTTTCAATTTCGCACACCTAGCTTCACATTGTTATTTTAAGTAAGGAGTATTTTGTATTTTTTTAATTATAAGCCAATTAATAGATGTGACCGACTAGTTATTTATTATTTTACCATGCAAATAAACTTATTTTTCAATAGATAAACTGAAAATAGTACAAGCTTCAATTTGAAATTTGTTTCTTATTTTTTTTAAATATTTAACTTAAAGTAAACTTTAAATAGGAAAACACTATCGCCGTTGATTCAAGGTTCTTTTAATAATTAATAAATTACATACATTTTTTGAGTGTACAAACACCAAACAATACTTATAATTATAGGTATTTCAGAAGAATGATAATTGAAATAATATATAAAAAGACTTTAAAAACGCTTTGCTCATAAAAACACAGCTTTATAAAATTAAGAAATAGCTAGGTTTTATTTAATCCAAAGTATGTACATAAAAAGCGCAGCAAAGGTGCAAAGTCCACAAAAACAAAATTTTAAATATACAAAAAACTGCATAACTATCCCTAACTGCTTCGTATGATCAGTAAAATAGAAAAAAAATTTTTAAGAATGGAATTTACGCGTAAGAATAATTGACTATTTGGAGTTCGATATGAGTATTTTTTGATCTTAGTTTTTAGTTTTTTTTACATTTATTTTATCAAAACACTTTATGACCGTGTAAAGAACACAATTTACGTTTTTACATAATTCTAGACTTTTCGGATCCTTTTCATGTCTTTTCATAAAAGAGACTATTATTATTTTCGACCTTTCAGATTCCTTTTAATTGCTAAGACCAAACAAATAAGCAGTATTTTGAGAAAGAAAAACAACGAATTTCCGCTCGAATTGGAGCTAACACGGGGTTAGATATCGAGTAAAGGGCTTAGAACCCACTTGTATTATTTTTAATATCCCAAGCGTTAGTGATCGCTATAAAAAGGAGACTATAACCGTCTCATCTATATCTACTTCAAAATTCATACAGTGGAAACAGACTTTTTTTGGATAAGAATAACTTAAGTTAGAATGTCAGCCGTCAACGCTACGGCCCCGGTGAAACAAAATTACGGCTTGACCGTCATCATTATCACCAGCCCATTGATGTCTCCACTGCAGGGGCACAGGCCTTCCCTATGGATGGAGGAGAGAGACTGAGCTGTGACCCACCATGCGATCCCAGTGTGGGTTGGTGGGTGCTAACGACTGCAGGTGCAACGACTGCAGATGCAGCTGGGCTTAAGGTGCCTTCCAAAGCACGAAGGAGCTCCAGATAATAGGTTTCTGGTCACCCATCCAATGACTGACTACGAAAGTTACTAAACTTTCACGATCGCAGGCCGAATGCGCTAACCACCTGCGACATATAGCTCCTCACTCGGCATGACCTGGTAGAGCACAAACAATTGGAGTTATTTAATTGCTAACTATAAACAAATCATCATTTAGTACTTGGATGCGCCCACATCGTTGCAGTCCGGGAAGGTGTGTCTGAACATGCTATTACAAAACATGCTCTGTTGTCGCGAACCGCATTAGCATATAATTGTAGCCAGTTCTAATTACCTTCGGAGCTCGTCGCATTTAATTATCACCCTTCGAGCAGATCTTGATGAGGTGGAGCGACCCTTAGCTTGCAATCATAACAATTAACATTTAGATTTGCGCACAACTCAATGAGATCTTTGCAAACTTTTGTTTCTTTTTGCATCCTATGTGGTCTTAGAGCATTTAAGTATTTGGTGTACTATTGTAATTCGTGTTTTTATAGTTATTTATAAATATTTTGAACTCAATATATACTGTACTATAAAATTGAGCTATAAATACGAGTAATATTGTTTCATGTATCGTCGTAATAAGTCTACAGCGAATTTTATTTCTTTTTATAGTAACGAAGAGTTCCTTACAAACTCAATATGTAGTTTATTTAGTTATTATTATACTAGCCTTTACTATTTTTTTCTGTCACTCCACTTCTACCTGAGATCAGGTGGATTAGGGTAATTTGTTCTTCCTTCAATAAAAGAGGGCATGATATA